ATGTCATTTAAACGTTGAACAATATTGCTTCAAAAAGATCTGTTCCTTTAGCTAAGCTAAAAAGATTACTTTTATTTTATTTCGCTACATTGAGCCATTTCAATATTGCTTCATTGATTTACATTGCAGCCGATAAAAAGTATGGAAAAGACCTAAAACTATATTGAGTGATCTGAAAATTTATATATAACAGTATACTAGATGAAGGACGTACCAAAATTTATGTATATTTAGCTAAGGTAACAGTGATCTTCAACGTTGTCAGTGTGAAAAGTTGAGTTATTATCGGAATCCTTGACATTAGTCTAATCTACTTATACCGTAAAACAAAATATATTTGAAGATGCATTCAAATGCTACATTTCTAAGTTCGGTATTTAAAACTAACGAAGGAAAGTGAAACAAACCTCATCGTCTTAGTCGTCAATTAGCTGTTCAAACAGAGGAAATGCGGAAAGAACTTCGAATAGAACGCAATGCCATTTTAGATGTAAACTACGGAATGCAGTAAACAGAAGACACAGGCAAGTGTAGAGTGCTCAAAAATATACTTTAAAAAAGTGAATGTTTAATTTTATTCATAATTTACATTACCGAAGCCTGAGCAGGTAACAGCTGCTGAGCCAGATAATTTCAAAACTTACTTAGATGAACATTTCTACTAGTCTACCTATTTTATCAGTATGTATATCAAGAAGATATTCTATCAAAAATGTGTGTATGAAATTTGCGAAATAGTAAGAATTTATATGCATTCTTCATCCACCTTAAATTCTCCATCCCGTATTGTCATGAAAAAGTGGTAATAAATAAGGGCTATAATAATATTAGAAACCGTACTTGGGAAAACATAAATTTCACTACAGTAGTAGTGAACTATTTTTTCGTAAGACAATGAGCAGGCAATATTTCTGTGCAATCCAGCAAAGTAGGTATATTATTTTTGATCCTAATTGAAACAAAAAAATTAAAGGCCGTCCAAATTGGAGTTCCCATTATAAACAGTATAAAATTTCTGTATCTGGTTGGAACATAATAAAAGCTCAAAAAGGCTATCGCTTTCGTTTGCCGGACCACAGACGGCTAACCATGGACAGCTGTTTCAGGCTATCTGACAACTCTTCAGCATGGTGTAGGATTGGTCTCGGTGGACAACGATCGAAAGCTGAGCAATTCTGCTGTATTCAGAGTAAGCCGTCTGTTGGAACTGTATGTCAGTTGACACTAACAGCCGATTCAATCGATCAAAAAGACCTCTCAAAAATCACCCCAGATTGAATAGAATTCTGTTGATAATGTGATTTTTATTTAATCTTGCGTGATTTTTGGGAGACCCTTCAGGTATCCTCCAGCTTCATTTGACTTAAATCAAAAAATCCTTTCTAATAACAGGATCAACGTCATAATTTGCAATATTCACTGACGAACCGCTAATGATACTGATTCAGGGAGCGACTAATCGTAATAAGCCATCAAAATACTTATTTACACTGTTTCACGTGATTACTCACGGCCGAGCTACAGTTTGTTCACTGTTGTAGCGTTTTCATGCAAAACCTACTATGTATACCCTATTCGAAGTCCACTTACGCCTCGGATCAACAAAGATGCAGCCACGGCAGCCTAAGCGTTGCAATAGCTACTGGTCGTTCGGCCATAAATCTACGAACAAGTGTAGAATTCGACAGGATAGAACTCAGGCTCTGGGTATCGCCGGCACGCCGACGCCTGCAGTTTCTTTTCATATTCGGTGCATACATAGCTTGTGTTTATACGTCAGCATGCCGTCTAAGGATAGATCAGATGAAAGTGAGAATATTTCTTTCAGTGCTTCCTTCAGCCATGCTTCCTCTTCAGTGATGCCTCCTCCCCGAAAATGTGACAAGAAGGGACATTTGAATATTCAGGCAAAATAAATTGTCCTTAAGATTATAAGAGCGAGATTTTAGAGGATCCTGAAATGAAATGATATTGCAAGAAATTTGGCAAACTAAATAGGCTTATGTCCTAAGACAATTTTCAACATTGTTAAAGAATATAAAAAATAACAAAAAATTGTCTCCACCACACAAGAGGCTGCATTAATCGAAGCTGTTGGATGAGTTGATAACTTTGATCGGAATGCCCTCTCAGACGCAAAGTCCATCAATTTTTTGAAAGGCAGGAACTTCCCACCATAGACAAAGTACAGGGTGGTCCATAAGTCCTTTGAAATTTAAAATTTGAATAAAATTTAACGGGTGAGCGTGAGCGGCGCGGGCGAGGTGGGGGCAGTATCTTCAGTGTCTGGGAATTCAGTCGCCATGGAGTGTTTCACTGGAGCGGATCGTGCTTTTTGTGTGCGCGCGTTTTATCAAAATAATGATTCGGCAACCATTGCGCGGCGTAAATATCGAGAATACAACAATTTACACAATTTTACAAAGTGTCCAACAGCTCAAACGATTAAGAACTGGGTTGCTAAGTTCGAAGAGACTGGTTCGACGTTAGATAAACAGCGGTGGGGTCGACCAAGGACAACTCGTATTGAAGAAAACTCAACATTGTGGCACAGTCTGCTCGTCAAAATCCTACCCAGTCTACTCGTAAGCGTTCCAGTGCACTAAACGTACCCAGAACATCTTTACAGCGGATTTTAAGGAAAGATTTACGTCTGCACGCTTACAAAATTCAGTTAGTGCAGGAATTAAAAGATAATGACGCTATTCAGAGACTAAACTTTGCGAATGAAATGTTGAATCGATTTTCTTCGCTCAATAATGTGTTGTTCTCGGACGAGGCTCACTTCCATTTAAACGGGCATGTAAATAAACAAAAATGCCGTTATTGGAGCCCCAAAAATCCAAGGCGTAAGCATCAGAAGCCATTACACAGCCCTAAAGTTACAGTTTGGGCTGCTATGTCAGCGCATGGCATCGTAGGCCCTTATTTTTTTGAGGACGACAGAGGTCGCGCATTAACTGTTACTTCGGAGCGGTATGTAGCAATGATAGAAGAGTTTTTGACACCAGCGTTGCAGAATTTTCCAGGCTATAATAAGCAGACCTGGTTTCAACAGGACCGGGCAACTGCCCACACCTCCAACACTTCTATGCCCGTCGTCTGTCAACTTTTTCCCAGCAAAGTAATTTCTCGAAGAGGAGCCATTTCCTGGCCACCACGTAGTCCAGATTTGACCCCAATGGACTTCTTTTTATGGGGCTACCTCAAGAGTAAAGTGTACGACACCACTCCGCGATCAGTTGATGTCCTGTCCAGTCATCGACAATTTTAGACGTCGTTTATATGAGTGCCGTGATCGTAATGGATTGCATTTAGACGATGTGATTTTTAAAACATAATTCCCATTCAATAAAGATGATAACAAAATATAATAATTCTTCATAATGTAACTAGTTTGGTTTTATTCCTTTTTTTTCCAGCTCAATGGACTTATGAGCCACCCTGTATTAAAGGAGGTTAATAGTGATGAAGACTTACCTACTTTCAAAAGGACAACATTCTGTAGTTTACTCAAAGAACTCCATTTTGAGAAACGGGGCAGAAATAGTATTTTGATGGACAGCCAAGAGATTATTGTATGGAGAAGAAATTATTTAAAATCGACAAAGAAATACCGCGACCAGGGCAGGAAGATTTATTACTTGGATGGAATCTGGATGAATGCAGGACATACAAAACCTAAAGGATTGCGCTGACTGACTCTACAATTAAATTACCAAGACAAGCTTTCTTAAATGGACTAGCCAGTGGCCTAAAGAATCCGTCATGTGCGTGTATCTAACCAATTCGTAATTTGTGTTGTAAAAACGGTGTCAAGTAGACTGAATCTATGAGCCCACGCTGAGAACTTAGCTACACTAAACTTAGCTATATCTGGTAGATTTGGACCCAACACCTGTTAGATACTTTACTTCTATTATTATTTTTCTTGAATACTATATGAAAAAATTATTGCCAGGACAAGGAAAATGATTTGTTATCTGTCAGATTGGCAGTGAAGATAGCTTTGTGCCCACTGCCCTATGATAGCTTTCTGCCCACTGCCCTATGGACATTTCAGTCAAAGGAAATGACAGACTACCATGAAGAAATGGACGGGAGTTCATTTGAACGATGGTTTGAAGAAACGCTCCCAAAGCTTGACGACAATGCTTTCATTGTACTTGATAATACTAGAAAAATAAAAAAAATCCCACAATGTCCACAAGAAAGGCAGAAGTTGCATAGGTCGCGCAAGAGACAATCGAAAGAAAGATGTGAGATCTGGAAAATATGATCGATATTAAAATTGAACCTGTAATAATTAGTATTATCCATTCGGACGATGATTCAAGTATTTTCAGCGACTAAAGAATTTTGAAAACTTCATTCTTTAAAAATAATCATTTGTTTTGTTAGATGATTCCAAGACCATTGAGGAAAATATAAACTTGTACAATCTCGCTTTTGGGCATGTTGTGCTTCGCCTGGGCGTAAATGGACTACGAATGCGGTATAGGTACGAATTTCTCTAGGATTTCCTCTTTGAGGGAATGCGTTTATTTACAAGGCCTACTGGTGGTCGGTCTGCCTGTTTGTATGTTGGTCGGCTGGCCTGTCTGACCGCTAATCCTTCTATCTACGAGTATAACTTGGAATAAGGTTTCTACTATGCCAATGACGAAATAGCTCACGAAACGAAAAAATACAAATATGGTCCTAAAACTTGGGAAGTATTTACACACGCGAATCGTGTAATATCTGTCAACTAGGAACAAAAATAATATACACAGCTATATTATGCATGTTCAATTTGTTTCCAAAATATCGATAATCAGCGGTAAGACTATACTCCAGTGGCGGCCGGTCCATAGGGGCGAAAAGGCTACAGCCCCCCAAGACAAAATGCGAATTAACAAAAAATTTAAAATATGATTTTGTGATTAAATAATTTCCAGATATATACGAAAATTCAATCAAAACCTGAATTTTAATAGTAGCCAGTTACGCAACACGCAATATATATATATATATATATTATCCGATCCCAATACCCCGAAGTCGCGAGCTAGATTCCCTATCGATTCGAGGCTAGAATAATTTTTGCCGCGATCGCCGACCTGATTGAGTGGCTCGCTACGTCATACCCCCCACGCGCTTACGAGTTTTATACGGGATTTTAACACGCGAGGTGGCGAAATAATTTTTAGCCAGTCCCGATTTACGTGTGTACGAAATCGCTTCGTCGCGTCCCCGTGCCGTCGTTCGGGCGTTCAAAAAGTTTAAAATGGCAAATGAAGTACAAAATTTGTTAAAAGGTGAATTTTCTCGGCTTCCGCTTGCTGAAAAAATAATACTAAAATCCCTTGGAAGGCCGATTCCAAATATCAACCTTACTCAGGCTGATAAATCAACGAAAGCGGGTTGTTTTAAGACACATTTTAAGAAAGATATCTATAACAAAAACAAATGGATATGCGGTTGTGGCACATTAAACGCCCTGTTTTGTTTTCCGTGCTTACTGTTTTATTCAGATGCAGCGGAAAAGACATGGACAAGAACTGGATTTAAAGATTTAAAGCATATAAACCAGAAAATTAGTAAGCATGAAAATTCGGCTCGTCACATGATTTGTTCGACAGAATTAGCTTTATTGGGAACAGCTAGTATCGCTGCTCAGTTAGATTCCGCTTACAGGCAAAATATTATTAAGCACAACGAGCAAGTGGACAAAAATAGATATCTTTTAAAAAGAATAATAAACTGTATAAAGTTTTGCGGTAAATTGGAATTAGCGTTAAGAGGGCACGACGAAAGTGAAGACTCTGAAAATCGTGGCATTTTTCGAGAGTTGACTAATTTTACGTCCGAACTGGATACAATATTAAAGGAACATTTAAAAAGTGCGACACTGTTTAAGGGTACTTCTAAAACAGTACAAAATGAAATACTAGATAGTATGTTGGAAGTCTGCCAACAAGAAATTCGACAGCAAATTAATGCAGCAGAGTTTTTAGCTATACAGTGCGACGAAACAACAGATATTTCACATCATTGTCAAATGGTAATGATATTTAGATATCTCCATGAAGGTGAAATACAAGAAAGATTTTGGCGTTTTTTGAGCGTTACGGACAAGACAGCTGAAGGTTTGGCAAAGTGTATCGAAGAAGAACTAGGCCCATTATTAAAAGATTCACCCCACAAATTAATTGCGCAAACTTATGATGGTGCAAACGTAATGAGCGGTAGCAGTGGTGGAGTTCAAACAAAAATCAAACAAAAATATCAGAACGCTCATTTTATACACTGTTACGCTCACCAACTGAACTTAATTATGCAGAGAGCAGCCAGCCAAAATCCAAAAGTAAAAGTGTTTTTTCAAACCTGTCGGCAATTCCAAGTTTCTTCTCCAACTCCACGCACAGATGCGATTTATTGGAAAAAATAGTTAAAACCAAAATGCCAAAGGTTGCGCCAACACGGTGGAATTATAACATTCGCACAGTCAGTGCCGTTTTTGAGAACCGTGAAAGTCTTATTGATTGTTTCCGGGAGTTAGAGAATAAATGTGATAAAACAATTACTAGTAAGGAGGCATACGGTTTAAGAAGAGCACTCGAAGATTCTGATTTCATCTTTTTTTTGACTTTTTTTCACAAAACCCTACCGCACGTAGCTATTTTGTTTAACCAGTTTCAAAGTAGGAATAAAGACAGTGTACAACTTTTAAAAGATATTGACGTATTTGAGAAGGCCATTGTATTGATTAGGGACACTACAGAGGATATACAGCAAACTGTTGAAAATGAGCATGGAGACAATGGAAATAAACGCAGAAAAGTAGGACCCGAAGAAAGAAATTGTATTATTGCAAAAGAAGTTTGCGATATAATAATTGTACAGACAAAAGAGAGACTTTCTTACAGGGGTCATCTAGAAGCTGCATCTTTATTAGATACACAAAACTTCACAAACTATTCGAGATATTTTCCAGCAAAAATACTGAATTCAGTTGTGACTTATTATCCAATGGTAAATAAAGAAAAACTGAAAACCGAATTAGAAGTAATGTACATGAGGGAAGACTTCAAAAATATTACAGGTGGTTTGAATTTGCTGTCCCTATTGACTAATAACAACCTAGAGGAAACTTTTAGCGAAGTAACTAAGTTGTTGCAAATACATATAATTATAACTACTCCCATGTCAACTTCCGAAGCAGAGCGCTGTTTCTCAACCCTTAAGAGGATAAAATCGTTTTTAAGAAACTCGATGGGCAATGAACGACTGAATGCATTGGCAATGATGTCTGTTAATAAGAATCTGGTACATAATATCAGCAATTTCGACGAAAAAGTGATGGAACATTTTATTTCACAGAAAGACAGAAGATTAGACTTTACATATAAACATTAAAAAATATTTTGTAATAAATAGAAGTGTGAAGTGTGACAGTTGAAACACAATGTTTGCTCTAGCTGTAGGTAGGTATACTTAGTCGTTTATAATACAATAATACATTTAGGTATACCGTATTTCTGTTCTCTTTTCCAGTTATTTATAGTTACATGTGTTGTAAGAAAGTGAAAAACTATACTTTTGAGTACTGTTGTTCTTTTGATAATAGATGCTCTGTTGCTTTCATATTAGATGCTGCTTTCTTTTGCGATAAGTTCTCGTACCTAAAATATGTTTGTTCCTATACAGAGGACTGTACATAAAATATATAGGTATAGGATTGCCAACTGATCCATCCACAAAATCAGGACATAAAAAATGCAAAAAAAATTATAGCTCTAAAAATGTATATTTGAATTTGAAGGCTCAAAATGGAAGTTTTTGGGCGTGGCACCGTAAAAATTCTTTGCCTCCGGCGGTGACTGCGGCAGGCCACCCTTCCCTACAATAGCCCCCCATTTCTCACAGCCACCGGCCGCCACTGCTATACTCGTACATATAGAATAGCTCCATCAGCTATCGGGTTTCAATGTCATTAATGTGCACGTGAGTTTTCATAAAGTTAGCCATTTTTATACTCCTTCCAATAAATATTCTTGTGCTTAAAAATCTGAAAAGGAAAGTTTGCATGTAAGATTACAGAGCTCACTTGAGTTACGTCAGTGATAGCAAAGCACAAAAGGAAGCTCTTTCTAAGCAAAGGAAGTTCACAGATCAAAGGTAAGACCTTAAAAAACGTTTTGTTTTTTGTAGACGAGACGAAATATTACAGACGACGTTAATTAAATTTGCGATGTATTAATAATTTTTCGAGCGATTCGCCGGTGATGAACAGGAACTTTTCAGTACCGGAAGTTAGAGAACAACTAGCAGTAAACAAATCCACGGCATCCAAATTTAATTAAAATTCCGGCTGCTAAACATCAATTAAAATTTAAACAGAGGAAAGGTCGATCGGAAATATGCAGTTTTCTGAATGTTTTCCTATTTTCCTGCAGGAATAAATTCCCGGTGCACCTAGAGATCCAGTTTCTAATTTTTCTCGAATATGCATATAGCGTTAAATACACGGAATGGTACGGACACTCAGCGGTTAAACCAGTGCCTGCCTATATCTGTCGTTACACCCACGAGCTAACTATTCTTAGCATCAATAAGTGCGTGTTCCTTCTGGATGTAGTAGGCGCTTTGATGATATCGTCTATCGCTCAAAAGGGTCTGGGTACTAAATAAGATGTGAAAGCGTTTTCTGTTAGTAATTACTCGTAGTCTTAGGTGTAAGCCAACACACTCAATACAGAGTTAAAACAAGTCGTCTAGTAATGTCTTTTTCCTGCAGTGCGGTGCATGCATTATGCATTGTTACACGTAACGGGATGGTACTAACTATAGGAAGAAGCAATCATCGTTGTATGTATATATCTGAAATGAATTTAAATTTTACCTCCCTAAAATACTTTTTGGGTGTTTGATGTCTTCTGAGCACGCCATAACGTCGTTGGCGTCTTGATGCAGGATCAGTTTGTTTTTTAGGATTGCCGTTTCAGAAACCTTTTTGAAATTAGAGTCAACCTTTTTTTTAAAAAATTAGGAACATTATCACTGATTCACATGCTTTAATTAGTAACTCATTCATTTGTTTCAGGTGCTGAATCAATGTTACTTGGAGTTTTTGGTGAGTAAATGTTATCTTTGACGATACCTAGTAATTTTCTAAAGGCCATATTTCGCCACTTTTCTTTGGGCTATATCTAAGTATAATAATAATAATAATAATAATAATATTTATTTACTCAAGTACAAAGATAAGAAACAATATGAGTAAATAAATATAAAATCAAAACAGGCCCAATAGAAGGCATCGCCTGTACATGGACCAATAATTTAAGTTGAAACTGTAGCATGCAAATGACAAAAAAGGACAAAAATTAGCTACAGTAGATTATGTATTTAGTTGATGTTCGTATTTATGAGTTTATGAATTTCAGTCCTAGATATAGAATGTAGCCACTTTTTTAAATTTCTTTTGAAACAATTTCCGAAACGTAAATCTTTTAAATCTTTAGGTATAATTTCATAAAATTTAGGCGCTAAATAGAGATATGATCGCTGCATTATAGATTTATGCGGTTGAGGAACTACTGTGCCACGAATTTTGTATCTGGTATAATGATTATGTTTAGTTTTTTGGTCGGTGTTTACAAATTTATGGTAGTGAGTGATACTGTGTAAGAAATAAAGCTGTCTTATATCATACGTACATTCGAACATCTGCATATAATTTTTCAGTGGGATAAAGTTTCGGTTTTTTAAATATCATTTTTAGAATACTTTTTTGAAAAACATCTAAATTATAGATATGTGAGGAACATGCAGCTCCCCATGCTAATATACCATATGTGAGATGAGGCTCAATCAGTGCATGGTATAATGTTTGAAGATATTTTTCTGTCAATATATTCCCAAGGTATTTGATTTTGTAGGATACAAATCTAACTTTCTTTAAAATATAATTGACATGGATGTCCCATCGTAAGTGAGGATCCAAGACCACTCCAAGGTATTTTATGTTGGGCACTCTATTAATTTGCATTTTTTGATCATTAATATTGAAGGTGAAATTTGTGTAATTTGGCAGATGGCATAAGATCCAAATGGTAAAAAATGTGTTTTAGAGTAGTTAATGCTTAATTTTCTACTGTTAAACCACCGAATAATTTTGATAAAATCATTTTCAATTACATTTTTCAGATCAGACCAGTCAGTGCCATCATATAATATTGCAGTATCATCTGCAAAACTAGTTATTTTGCCAACACAATTAATTTGGAAAATATCATTTAAATATATATTGAATAACAGCGGACCTAAGACAGTTCCTTGTGGGACACCACACTTAATATACATTTCTTTACTAAATGATCCTGATATCTGCACCGATTGTGGGCGATTTGACAAATAACTTTCGATCAGTGAGTACGTGTTTCCTCTGAAACCAATTCTCTCCAATGCTTCTAATAATAATTTGTGATTAACTGTGTCGAAAGCTTTCTTTAAATCAACAAAAATGCAGATTGAAGGGATTCTGTTATCAATATTTTGATATATTTGATTTACAATTTTAGTTATTGCGTCCGATGTAGCCTTCCCTTCTGTAAATCCATATTGATTTTCACTTAAAATTTTGAATTTTGTGAGGTATCGAATCATTCTAGTAGATAAAACTTTTTCAAAAACCTTTGCTACACTGGATATTATTGATATTGGTCTATAGTTGTTAACATCTGTCTTTGTTCCTGATTTATGTATCGGTGTTATATTACCTTTTTTTAAAATTGAGGGATATATGCCAAATTCAAAGCATTTGTTGATTAGGTAAGTGAGTGGTTCTGTTATGTCCTCGGCTATAATTTTCAAATGCTCGCTTTTAATACCATCGAACCCAGGACTTTTCCGATTTTTTAAGGACATAACAGTGGTGTATACTTCATATTGTTCGACTTTATCCAAAATAAATGAGTTCAAAGTTCTTTTTGGAGGCTGAGTATTTTGTACATTTGCTTGTATATTACTTGCTAAATTTTCGCCTATGTCAGTAAAGAATTGTACAAATTTATCGCATATCTGTTGAGTATTATTTAATACTGTTCCCGATGTTGTATTTAACTCAGTGACACACTCTTTAAATTTTGTTTTCCCAGTAATCTCATCAATAGTTGTCCAAAGCCGCTTAGGATCATTTAAGTTATTATTCAATTTATTTAGGTAATGTTTTCGTTTGGTTTGCCTTGCAAGCTCTATAAATTTATTTTTATATTGGTTGTAACAGTCGGTATTCTCTGTAGTTGGCGTTAGTTTCATTACATTATATAGTCTTTCTTTTTCTATTGCCGATGTTATTAATCCTTTGGTAATCCAGGCATTTCTGCTTTTCTCTTTGTGACTAATTATTACTTTATTGGTACTAATATCTATTAGTTTTTTTATTTTCTCTATGAACAGTTCCGTTGCTTGTATTATTGTCTCATCACTGACTACCTTTGCTTAATAGCCTGAAATATAATAGAATCCGACTCGAACAAGTCGTGCATAAAAATGATCACTTGAGTAAGTTTAAACAAGGTTTATACTTTGCTAACCTGAACGAACCTGAATAAAAAGTAAATCGAACATCAAAGAAGAGAATTCAAAGCTTAATTAGTATTTTGCAGATGATATATGAAACTGGTTGTTGTATTTGTTCCATATATGAAAGTAGTAACTATGTACTCAGTATTGAAAATATCATCCTGTTATTCGTATAGGGAACTTAGCCGACCCGACGTGAAAGACGAATGTATGTGTTCACGTTATTATATCATTAAGTACCCTACAAATTAAACACGAGTTGTGTTTCTTAAAATTCAAATTCAAATTCAAATTCAAAATATTGAAGGCAGACGGACCATAGGGACTAAGGCACCGCACGGGTATTACGTATCTTGAAAATGACATTATGTCGATTTTTTTTTGACACTGTATTGGTTTTTTGTGACATGATGTAGGTTTTTCTACAAGATGTTAACTTAGCTTTAGGTGATGGATACGTTTTAAGCTCGTTTTCTGATTGTACGTGTTGCCTAAACTTCATGAGGCTTCAGTTTTCAAGGTGTAGCTCTGATATGATGTAAAATCTGCTTCAGAGATGGCATTACTGGAGGTCTAAGCTGTAAGTTGTGTACTATATCTAGAAGGAAACGGCAGTGCATATGTGCATAGTGAGGATTTGTGTACTAATAATATGTGTTGATGATAATTCTACTGGATTCTTGCCACAAGTACACTTACTTGAGATTCAAAGCTAGAAATTAGTTGCGAATCCACTTTTTATTATCCATTCTGGAAATTACATATTCAAATTTGCTGAATTTAAAAAAATGAGAGAGATAAGAAATAATTATATTCACTGAATACTGTCGAATTACAAGTCATATACATGCTAGCGTAAAAAATTGTAATTTATAACGTTCAACATAACCTGTCTCAAGAAAGGTCAACATATAAATAACCCGTGGGGCACAGCTAATAGATATACTTTATTCGGAGTATATTCACTAATGATTTTCTCACACAGCACGCTCAGAACGTTCCTAGCGACAAACGTGGAATGACTGTTTGCACCCTAAGAACTACCTAGTCTGCAAGATGACATTTTATAGGTTTTTTTTGACTTTCTATAGGATCTTTGACAAATAGAAATTGTTTCTGGGATATGCGCCAGTCGGAGTACTTGACCAGCACAGTATGAACTACCACTATACAGAATTTCATTAAATTTGTCCGGTGATTACATTCCATATGTTTTGTGCCTGGTTCTTTGCATATTCAGCACAGTTTTGTGTACCTTACTTACGATTTTTAGAATTAAACCCTCCCAGCAAAAATTACTTTTGCTGATGTCTCTTCGTTCCCCCCTGAAAAACAAAAACACAGCACTCAATCCAGTTTTTCCTTTGAGTTTGCTTCAGTATAAAAAATATGAGAATCGAAAATTCTTAGAACACTTTAGCTCAAACAACTTAATAACGTTATGGTAATAACCAAAATAACCAACATGAGGTAGCCAGATTTTCGGAGGGAGGGGGGGGGTGGGTAGAGAGAGGGGTCCTGGGATCATGTTTATGACAGACTAAGAGCTTTACATGCTTAGCACTATATCAACAAAGCTCGAGACTTTGACAGAATTATAGTGAGACGAGCGAGAAGAAGAAGCTTGGCTTGTTCGTCTCGCATGACAATGGGGACATAATGAAGGAGACCATAGCAATATTTAGAGAAATTGCAATACTACATTGATTCGTAACTGTTTCCAAGCTGCCTTAAAAATTGCACCTGTTGTTATCGATTTTGACTAAGGTATAATTGGCTTGCCATACACTGGTACAATGTTATTAAATTTACCGTTAGTGTCGCGTGCATTTCGTTAGCGTAACCGTATCGGCAACGCGGTGGTGGTGCCCCAATTAAGTTAATTGGAACTTCACAGCCAATTAGCTAACACTGCCTACTTGCCCTGACGATACAACTATACATTGAATATTTGTCTGAAGTGGAAGCGATGTGGTGCTCTATAACAGCTGTGCAATGACGACTATATTGAAAGGACTCACAAAGTCTTCAATAATATGTGGGCTGATGTGTCTGGTTGTTCATCTTCTAAATGATTCCTCAGTTATCCTGATGACGTCCAAACAACTGCTTTGGTTTCCTACTGGCGTTATGATTGAAGATTGTCAGCTAATTGAGAATTGCCTAAATATGAGACGGCATGGAGTGATCAGGAAGATAAGATGCGATTGCCCAGTTGTACTATATACAGGGTTATCCAAATTAAGTGTCCACCATTAGTAACTTTGTTATTAGTGAAAATACAAAGTTGTTTGAATTAGCAAACTAGTAGCATTTTTAACGCTGGTAAAAATGAGAAATAAAAAAAAGCAATTGAGAGTCGTTATTTTGATTTTTTTCAGTAAAATAACATTTTTTTAAATGGAAACCCCTGTATATTATATTTTGTTCTGTTAAAGCATCAAATTTTAAACAAAAAAGTTCATAATGACTTTTCCGCTAAAGTCAAAAATAAAGTCAAAATAACGATAAATATTTTTAATTATTTGCAGTATTATAATATTAAGA